AATTGATAAACGTTACTTCAGGGTCGTCTCTTTAGTTTGACTTATCCATGGCCAACATTCGCTATGACTCCTCGTACCCCCCCGCCCCGACAATGAGTCTTTCCAAGGAGGCGGATCGCGAGGGAGCCGGGTGAGCACGTGCAATCAAGCCCAGCCCTGTGGGCGGGGTTCAGAGGGGGCGGAGCTTGGGGGTATTCACAGGCGCCTTCCTCCGCGGCTTCGGGACAAATTGGACCCGAGATTAAAGGACTGGAGTTTAACTCGAGGTGACTGCGTTCGTATGCAAATGGAATCTATAAAACTGTGCTTTCCGGGGTACTCTTTAAAGTCTTTTACCTCCTGGTGGGCGGGAAAGACTAAAGTTTCTCTTCCTCTTTCATTTTCCCCCTGCCAGGCCATTAAAGAAACTCTCAGATCTTGACTCCGGGGGTCTTGAAGCCCTCCGTTTGAGACGCTGCTTATCCAGCCTTATTCGCCTTTCCTTCTTAGTTCCCCTATTTGTAAAATGGAGTTGGAATATGGACGGGGTGCAAGTGGAAGATCCTAACTTCCCCTGCCTTCCCCCGACTCCTCGCCTCAGTTTCCCGGTGCAAAATCCCGGCTTTTGCAACCTTTTGGCTGCTCTCGGCTGAGCCCACCTCCTGCGGCCACCAGGTGGCGCGCGGCCACCAGCCTCTGGGCCTGCCCGGGCGTCCGCCTTCCGCGACCCTCTCGGGGAAGGACTCAACGCGGCTGCCAGGGTCTAACTAAGCCCTACCTGGCCTGCTTGAAGACAAAGAACAAGAACACTGGTGCTTTGCCCGCCTCTACTCTGTTGGGTTAAGCCGCAGCTTCCTCACTGTGCCCGTTCCTTCCTATCCCGCCCCACCAATCCGCTGGCTCGTCTGTGGCATTCTCTGCTTGATTTTTTTTAAGTCTTCATCGTGGCATTCGCATCCCTGCCTGGTTTGACCCCTACCCATATTTCTCATCACATACCTTCCCTCACCTGCTACGCAGGAGGTTTTGCAACGCTTCCCTGCACTGGGCGGTTCCTTACCAACATTGGTTAACCTGTATTGCACCCTTAATCTGTGCCGGCCACTGTTCTGAGAGATGTACATTAACACCATGTTGTCTAAACCTCACACTTGCTCTAGAAGTAGCTCCAATATTGTCCCTGTCATACACTGATGATGTCACCCAGCAGTGATGGGGATTTCAAACCTAGTCGGTCAGACACCTGAACCAGAACACTCGGCTCCTTCAAGCTGGAATGCTGCTGGGCTTCACCCACCTCCTAAATTCCTGTTCATCTTTCAAGATCCTGTTCAAATGTCTCCTCAAGGACACCGTCCTTAATACCTCCCACCGGGGGACATCTAGATCCCCTCCGTATTCTCTTATGGCTCTGTTGAGCTCTCTGTGGACTTGGAGAAATGATCTCTCTGTGATTGCTTCCCCACTTCTATTCCCCAGCCCCAGAAAAGGAGGACAGCCCTTAGTGTATGTGTTGGGTGGTCGGGGGAGGGCAGAGAAGAAGGGTCCTCTGAGCCATACCCTCCATTCTGGGTTCTAAAATGTATCAGGACCATGTTGCCTTCCTAGGCCCAGAACTTCTATCACAGGCCTCTGGAGGCAGTGAGTTCCCCTTCCTCGGAGGTCCAATCAGGGGAAATGGCACTGCAGAAACCTCCCACAGTCCTGGGGTTTCGGTGGAGGACTGAGATTCTAAGTTCACCCTCAAAGATGGGCAGAAGGGTTCAGCCAAACGCTCAGCCCTTGGAAACAACTCATCCTTCAGACCAGCTCTGTTGTCACTTCCTCCAGAAGCCTTCCTAGATCTCCCTAACTAGTCAAATCCCTTTATTCTCACTCTCCTCATTAGAACCCCAGCTGCTGAGCACAGGGCCTGAACACAGCAGACACTCACTAAATAACTGCTGAGTGGGTGAAGGAATAAATGAAACAGATCTGAATGAATGAATGAAACAGAATGACTTTTCTACTTAATAACTGTGACCTTGGGTGTGTTCCCTCTGAGCCTCAATTCCTGGTTTCTAAGGAGGGAGGGCTAATGATCCTTGCTCCCGCACAGGATTGTTATGGGAATTAAATAAGAGGATGCATGCAAAGCAATTAATATAAGGTCTGGCCTAATGAATGGGACTTGTTACCAATGTTATTTAAAGAGTGGTCCTAATTTCCAGTTACCTGTCTTCTGAAAATGCTTCTTGGGAAGAGTCAACTACCACAAAACGGAGAAAGGTAAGGGAAATGACTGTGTTCTGAGACGCCAGCCGCTGTCCTAAGTGTATAGGGTCCTGTGAGGTAGGCACCCGCTACGTGTCCAGCACCTCCTATGGGGTCTTTTCCCGCCAGTGTCCCCCAACAATCCTGAGACATCAGTACCTTCCCCCCAATTTACAAATGAGGGAACAGGCTCAGTACGACAGATGAAAAAAACTCGACCACCAGCAGGACTCATGACAGAAGAGCTGGAAAGGAAAGTACTGTCTAAGGATAAAGAGGGATCTGCGGGGGAGTGGTCCTGAGGCCTGAGGCAGACAGAGAAACAGGACGAGACAGGGATACAGCTAAGAATAGGCAGGAGTGAGCCCCATCCTGGGGGCCTTGCCCTGCAGTGGGGAAGACAGACACTAATCAAATCAAATAGTCACACAGACCCACAACTGCACAGCAGTGCTGCAACTGAGAACACACCCAGAAGTTCCTGGTGCTATGGGAATGTGTGACAGGGCTCGTTTTGGTTGGGGGTGGTGATCAAGGGAGGCTTTCTGGGATAAGGAGCATTGAAATAAGATGGGAAGGGTGAGTAGGAGTGAGTCGGATTGGGTGGAGGGAGAGAGTTTCAGGGAAGGAATAGCATGTGCAAAGGTCCTGAGGCCAAGATGGAACTGAGAGAATTGGTTGTGACTGGAGCCCACTGAGGGAGAGAGAGGGCAGAAGAGAAAGGTAAAAAGGAGGAAGCCAGAGGAGACGATGGAGCCATGTGGGGGATCAGCCAGCAGGGAGCAGAGTTCTCTGGTGATGGCAGCCTTGCTCTTCAGGGCCTAGCCAGAGCCAGAGCCAGGCTGCATGGGGAGAAAGGGCTGGGAAAGGGAACCCCCACCAGGTTCTGTTTGTTTTAAGTATATTTTGTCTATTATTTGAATAGATGGAACACACATTACAAAATCCCCAGGATGCAAAAAAGTATTCAATGAAAGGAAACCTTTCTCCTTACTGTGATTCCCAACAGCGGGTTCCCCTGCTTAGCGATAACCACCATACGGATTTATTGCGTGTCCATCCACAGACAGCGTCTGCACGTAAGAACACACACCATATTTATTTTTTACACTAATCTAGCCCTAGTTTTGACGCCTCTCCAGGAGGTCTCCAGTTATGAAATAAGCTAATTTGCACTGAACGCTTACTGCGTGTGATTCTTTAATTCAGGTGAGAGTTATGGAGCCCCAGACCTTGTACCAGTCCAGTGGTTCTCAAACTTTAAATCCTCTGGAGCTTGTTAAAACGGGACCCACCCCTGGAGTTTCTGTTTCCTTAGGTCTGGGGTGGGGACCAAGAATTTGCATTTCTAACAAGTTCCCAGGCGATGCTGAGGCTGCTAGTCCCGCTGGGGACTACACTTTCAGACCACTGAGCTAGCTGCTGGGGACAAATTAGGTGCACTGGTGGCTTTATTTCTCTCCCACAAGGGAAGGCATGAACGACATAAGGAAACACGCACACACCAACTAGAAAGACAGTTTCACAGGGTGACCAACTCTGTGAAGAAAATGAAGAGGGGAAGCAGAGAGCATGAGAAGAAGTGCTGGTGAGTAGGGGAGGGGTAGGAGTGGAGGGTAGCAACATTTGGGGCACAAACGAGTGTTCTTTTTGAGCAGTTGAAGTTTACAAGGCCAGGTAAATGCACACGCGTGTGGAGCTGTCTTGCACTCCGGGGAGGGGTCACCTACAGAGACAGGCGAAGAGGGAAGAGGGAAGAGAAGGGGGTTCTGACCCCCAGGGTGCCCAGAGGTACGCAGAAGGAGCCCGGGGTGAAATACCAGGGAAAATCAGAAAGGGACCGTGAGAGGGCCGGAGAAGAAGGCGTGCTCAAGAGCAGGGAGGGTAGAGAGGTGCCGCTTTGGGTTCGGTTAGAGGAGGTCACCAGGACCGCAACCAGGCATTTCCATGGTGAGACGGAAGACCCCTGGAGTGAGGGGGTGGGCAGGGAAACTGAGGAGAGGCGCCCCCGGAGGGCTCCGTGGGACAGTTTTGCTGCGTAGGAAGCAGAGACATGAGGGGCTCCGTCCTGAGGAGGGGGGTAGGGAGGGTGTTTAAAAGGTAGAGGCTACCGGAGTTCAGTTGGGGGTTGACGAGGGATCTTGGAGGGAGGAAGAAATTGAACACGCAGGAGAGAGGGGTCTGAGCCGTGAAAAGGGTAGAGCTGGCGGCGTCGCGGGGTCTGGAGAGCTCAAAGGTTCTCCTGCCCCGGAAACATCACTCCTTACAACCACTCCAAAAAGAAAGCACTCTTTCCCCATGTTACAGGCGGGGAAACTGAGGCTCCAAGAGGTGAAGAGACACGCCTGAGGTCCCACGTCTCACAGAACAGGACCTCGGTCCTCCTACTGCCCTCGCCGCTCCTGCGGGCTCCGAACAAGCCCCTTTTTTGTGTCCTTGCAGGGATGCCCTTTGGCGAGCCGCGCGAGGGCTAAGAGGCCGGGCGGAGAGCGGGCCGGGCCGGGCCGGGCGGGGCGCTCCC